CCGTCTGCCTCATCTTTTGTTTTGCATAAATTAAATGGCTAATGGCCATAAATTTTGTTCTTGTTGCTGTTGTTGTGGCTCTCTTTAAGCGTTGCTGCGATTTATTAGCTGACCTTCAGCGTTATAAATAAATAAACTTACAACAAAACTGAGAACAAAACGAAAAGCTTCAAGCAACAGCTCACTTTGACTTGTCGAAACTTTAATATATTTTCGAAGGAAGCTATTAAACAATGCCTTTAGATGAGCCCATTACCAAATTAAATGAGCTGTAGCTTTACTTTATTTAAGTCTTATGGTAGGGAAAAGTCTAAAAACTGATTAAGACTTTCTCTTTAAGAATAGAAAAATTCACTAGATTTTTTGTAATTTCAGATTTAGTCTTAAGCAATAAGTGGCATATATTCAGTATACATTTAATATATATTTAGTATATAATCGCTATATACCATATTTAGTATATATTCAATTTGATTTATGTTTTGATGTAATATAAAATTAATATATACTAAGGATATTCTACCTTATTCATAGAATATCTTTAGTGTAATATATACTAAATAAATACTTAATATATACTACAGATATTCTATATACTGATAGTATTTATTTAGTATATATTCCTTTTGTATTATTATTAGTACACAATTAATGTTATTACTTGGTATTTACTTTCAATTGAGTATATACTTATATAGTATACATTCAGTATGTTATATAGCATAATTTAAAAATATATATATTCAGAATATAGTTAGTACAAATCTTTCAAAATATTTTTAGTATATAATTGATTTACATTCTGTATATTTTCATTACAGATTTAGTTTCTGCACTATATATTCCGCATAAATTTAGTAGGCATAAATTTCCTTTTTAGTATTTATTTAATTCATGATTAATTCAAAGAATTCATATATATATATATATATATATATATATATATATATATAATTTTTGGCTTCAAGCCTATTTGTTGTCATGAGTTTTAGCTGTATTAATTTTTTTTTTATTAGATGAATATCTATCTCTTAGATGAATAATTAAATATAATAACCATTTAATAAATTTATTAATGTTAAATATAAGTATTTAATATTTTTATTTCATTTTTTTTACAGTGTATTCTTTTCATCTTTAGACAATTATGAAAATGATGGTGCTTACACATGTATGTTATGTATAAAATATTTAAGTAAAGTACAAAATATATATCGAATATATATATCGAATAAATATATATGACTCAAAGTACTAAAAGTACATATATTATATTTTTATTTTACCTTTTTCAGTTTCCATTTACTTCCTAAATGCAAGCCGCTTGGCTTATGCCCGAGTTCAAATGCAGTGCGAAACAATTGTTACACAACGCATCAACAGCAACATCTACAGCAACTGCAACAGCAGCGGCAGCAACAACTTTTGCTGTGCAACATGTTTCGCAGTTGCAGCAACGGCAGCTGCTTGCTTAACGGGCAACAGCAGAACGAACAGCAGTTGCTGCAGCGCACAAAAATTGGCCAAAACGATCATGTTTATATAGACACATAGGCCATAGAAACGGCGCCTTGTGGACCAACAGCAGCAGCAGCAACTGCGGCAGCAGCAACAGTTATGGCAATTGCCAAAGTTGCAGTTGCAAAAATCAAACAAAAAGCTACACAAAAAAAAAGAAGGCAACAAACAATAAAAAACAAAGCAATGTTGGCCAAAAAGTCAACAGCAGCAGCAGCAACTGTTGCAGCCAAATGGCAACAGCGGCAGCAGCAGCAGTTCAGCAACAATGTTGCCAGCCAACAACAACAAGTTTCTTTGACTTCGTCTGCTTCTTACCGTTTGAGGTTACAACAAGGTAAACCTGCTGCCATGTTATTGTATCTGCGCTTTGATCTCTCGCCTCAGAGACAATAGAACAAAGCGAAAACCTTGTTGTTGCTGGCAAGACAACAACAGCAACGGCAACAGCAACAGCAACAGCAACAGCAACGGCAACGGCAACAGCAACAGCTGAAGAATTATGGGAGGAGGTCAATGCTGCAATTGTTAACTGCTAATTAGCAGTCAGAGAGTGAAAGAGAGCGATAGACGCTGCCATGTAACAATCGATATGTGCCTGCGGATGTATCGAGAACCGGTTAACAGATGGTCGAAACCAAAAACAAAAGATGTTGCCGCTGTTGTTGTTGTTGCTCTTGTTGTCGTTGCTGTTGTAACAACAACAGGCAAATTAGACATTTGACATGGCATTCACTGACAAATTACAAACAACATAATGCACACCAGATTTTGTTTCTTTTTTTTTTTTGCCTTTTTAGAATACAAGAATCGAACACAATATGGACCCCACGCAACGCAGCCTCATTCTCTGAGAATGAATAAAATTCAATATTGATTGACAGCAGCTTTTAAAAATCGTAGCGTAGCAGCAGATAGCTAACAATAGCTTTGTTATCGTTAATCGTTATAATAGTCGATCAGATTTAGCCAATCAATAAATTAAACTGAACTGAGCTGAAATAATATTTGTTCAGTTATCGCTTAGAGCCGTAAATAGAAATCGAATGCTTCCGGCTATAACCGATAACATTCCTAGAAATGGCAATTATTAATGTAGTATCGATAGCTATTTTATCTCTAATTAACCATCTCCCAAGCCATTTAGCCTTTTGTAAACTGTAAACGTTAAAGAATTAAAAAAATTGAAACAAAATCAATTTTAAATATTTTCGATAATATGTAAACGATAACACTTAAATTTTAATTTTTGGCTTTCGTCAATAGTATTCACATAGTATAACAAATCGATAAAAATCATTATCGCCAACTTTAACTAGGCTGAAAAATTAGCTTCAAACCTAATTTAACCTTTTCCAAAACCTCTTAAGGTGCTACAAATTGAGTCGACTATCAATATCGATAACATAAAACGTGTTGAGCTCATTTAAAACTCTCATTGCAATTTCTCGTTAGCTTTTCTGCTTCAATTCATTCATTTCTTCCATCCTCTTGTTATGCTTCGAAATCTTATACAAATTGTTATCGATAATATAAAATACAATCATTTACAACTCCAACTGTATTCTTAATTTTAATGTTTTACTATTTGATATTAGTGTTTCATCAATATTAATAAACACTTATAACTTTTCGTATTGCTCAAGATTCCACAAATATTATGATCGATAACATTAAATTCCTTCAAATTAATTTTAAAATTCTCGCATCAGTTTGGTTTATTTTACGATTAACGCTTTTTCGTTCCCTCCACTTTTGTCGATAACATTAAACACTTCTTTCGTTATTGCGAACCTTTAACTCAATTGCTCATCTGCCAGCGCTCTCTTCGCGTGATCCTTCCACCTGGCTTCTGCTTAAGTTATGACAGCAAAAGCTGTAAATTAACATTTGAGGCCACGTTTAGCCACACTCAAAAAAAAGAGTTCAAGAACATAAACAAAGCATTGGACGTGTCCAATGAGGCAAGCAGCACCAAAATTAAAAAAAAAGCCAATCAGCTTACAAAACTTGCCGACAACCTTGGCTAAAAGAGTGCGATAGAGAGAGAGAAAGACGCAGTGAAAGACGGAGAGAGATGGAGCAGTTGAGCCTCCTCTTCTGCTGCTGCTGCAGCTGCTCCCGCTAGCTGATAAAAGCAAAGACCGCACATAAACCCAGTTACGAACAAGTAAGATTGTAAACGTTACAAGTGACTTGACTAAATAATACTCTGCACTTAATGTATTCGAGTGTCTCTTATTAGGAAATAACTTTTACTATATACTATATATAATTATGGCCATCAGTCAGCTGTTCACATTTTTTAAAAATTAAAAATAAAAATTGTTTTTCAATTAAATTTAAAATTTAAAATTTAAAACTTTTCCCATTTCCCATTTCTTATGAATTATCTACCTTTCGACAGCCGCTCTCTGTTTATAGGGTATACACATTATGAGTGAGAAGCGCAACTGCAGCAGGCGACCAATAAACACAATAACCGCAACTCCGGCGACGTAGTCAAAATAATAATGAGCCAACATTTAAAATGGTTTATGCGATGCCAACGTCATTATCATCAATGGCCAAGATCATTAACAACGTCATTATCACAGTTATGAGCATCATTATTACAATACACCTACGGCACAGGCCGAAAGTCTTTGATTTTTCTAGGTCAAGCCACACACAAGCACAGATGAAGAAGAGGAGGGAGCGGAAGAGGGAGAGAGGAAAAGCTGGAGAGGAAGAAATGGAAGCAGAGTTCAAAACGTGCCCGGGCCACATCGTTAAAAGCTTCTCTTAACTGCGCTGCGTCTTTCCTCTGCACAACTCTCTTCTCCTCTCCTCTTTCCTCTCTCCGCTCTCCTCTCTTCTCTTCTTGACAACTCGTGTGTTTTTGACGTTGGAAACAATTTCCGGTGGCCTCCGGGCCAACCGCTGCACAATTGCAGTTACCGCGGCCGCAGTCGTAGTCGTTGTCGTTGTCCCGATCCGATCCGAGCGACAGTCGCATGAGTCAGCTCCCAAGAAAGTAGTTCAAGTGACCAATGGCGCCGTTACATTTCGATGCTTCAACTGAAGTGGACCCCGGTCCGAATCGGATCGGATCGGATCGCTTCGACTCCAGCTCTGGCAAACGTTTCCCTCGCAATTGGGCGTTAATTAAATTGTTTTCATTCGCCTGCCCCGCTGAAGAGGCTTTTGTGGTTAATGCTCAAGTGGACGTAGACCAAGAGCCGTTATGTGAGATAAGTGGGCGGAAATATTGGTTAAGGGCCAGCAGCAAAAGTTTAAGATTAAAGCAAAGAGAGTCCAAAAATATGGATTTAAGTACATAAACATACACATATAGCTCAACAAGAGTCTAATAAGACAATGCAGTATACAGCATACTGTTTTTAAAAATAGTTGTAAGCGATAAGCTCGACTTATGCTATCGATAATTAATGTACTTTACTGCCCTTTTAAATTTTATTTATAAAACTTTTCGTACTTACCATTCAAAATTGTAAATTGTAATATTCCAATTGGGCGTGTATTCAGTCTAATAAGATTTGTTTTTGATATTCCCTAAAAAGTGTTGCCGTGTTGCAAAAAGTCAGAATTATGTTTCTCACTTAATTTTAAATTGTTTTTATATTAAAAATTGTTTACTAATTTCGTGTATATATTTTCATTTAATTTTAATTCATAATTTGTTTTTTTTTTCTATTTTTTAAAACTGTAATTAATTTTCTATGCACATTTTTTACATTTTCCTTTTGATGCAAATTTATCAGACATTTGTTGTTGTTATTGTTGTTGTAAAAATGGATGTATAAAATATATTTGCACGATAACGACAACGATATTATTATTGCACAATGAATGCCGCTTGTTGTTGTTTTTTATTTTATTTGATTCTTTTCACCTGTGAATTATTAACGGTAAATTAATTATTCAGTGTCGATGTGTATGTGTGTGCATGTCTGTGTGAGTGTGGGTTAACGAGCGACCGAGCACAGCAAATTGACAAAAAGTAAATAAACAAAATGCTGCAAAACGGCAACTGTTGAAGTTGCAACGCGGAAGCTGCAAGCACAAAACCAGATTTTATTTCTGCAACGCCATCCAATAAGAATCACACGTACGTGCGCTTTCTTTATAAGCGTACGTGTAGATGTGTCTCTATGTGTGTGTGGATGTGTGCCTGTGCATGCCTATGTGTGGGTTGTTCTTTTTTGCACTTGCTTGTTGGCTGCTTTCTTTGCTGCTGTTGCTCTGGGTTTCATTTTACACGGCAGCAGAGCGCCGCCTCGGCTACTGCCTCTGCCGACGTCGCTGCCTCCGCCACTGGCAAGCTACTCTTGCGTTGCGTTTTTCCTCACCTTTGCAGAGTTTATTGACATTTTCAGCATTTGCTTTTGTGCGCTGCTTTCTTCGAGTGAGCGTGCGCTCTCCCTATTTTAGTGTGTGCCTCTCTCTCTCTTTCTCTCTGTCATACATATACACAGGCACTTGTTTTTTTTTTCAGAGAATAACCTTCAATTTTATCTTATTGCGCTCTTGTCGTCGTTACACACACTCGCTCACACCCATACATAGTTAACGTACACACACGTACGCACGGCCCCACATTTGCAGCTTTGGATTTGTAGTTTTGTTATTTTACGCTGTATGAATTAACATTTGCCTTTTCGATCTGTTTCTTATGCAGCTTTAACTTAATTTATGTACTACTTATTTTAATGCGATTGGTTGCATTTTATAATTCCGCTACGCACACACTTGCACTCACACATACGCATAGTCATTCACACTCACACGGTCATACGAGTGACGGCTGATTCTGTTTAAAAAACACACAAAATATTATTTTTTAGCCGTTATGATTATATTTTAAATTTTACAATTTGTGTCATAGATATTTAAGAAAATTACTTTTATTTTTTTTGTGCTATTGCTATTTGCTTTGCACAGTATAACGAAATTCTCAAACACTTTTTTCCACAACGCTTGCGGCGTTACACAGGCACGCGCGCAACTTCTCCGATCGGCATTTGTTTTGGTACTAACCGCAGTGTGACCGGATCTAAGAAGCTAAAAAACAATACCCTACTTGAGAAAAGTAAAAGAAAACAAAAAATCAGTGTGACCAGACGTGAAAGAACCCTATAATGAATAATAAGACACAAAAATACCGAAATACACAAGTAACAACCATGTGATAACCGTTTCATTTGAGTACAATTTGTAAAAGCATGTTTGGATGTATTATTGAAATTAATTAATTAATAACTTTTGTCAAATACTCAAGAAATTAAAAATATTTTAATTTTAATCTATAAAAGTAAGTAAAAAATATATTAGATTTAAAGATTCAATTCATTAATGTGCAGCTTATCATGCACAACTACTCTTAACGCCCTTCTTGTGAGGGTGACCATTAATTTTTAAAACGTTGTTATACAACACAGATTGGTCATTGAAAATTGTATCAACAGCTGATTGGCTACCTTTAGTTTAATTTAGTACGCCATTTCATGCGCGACGTGGTGGTTGATGGTATAAATCGTTTGTAGTCTTAAGCATAAAAACAAAACACCCATTATCGTTCCAATGAGCGGTCACTGATTGCCAAAACTACATAAACGAATGTGTTAGTGAATAAAGTTGATAGAGTTTACACAAATTTAGTACAAATATATAAAAACACAATGGCAAACAACGATGTGCGAAAGAGAAAGGTAGGCAAAGGTTAAAGGGCATTGCTACATTTGTTTCAAATGCTAATTTCGGCGCGTTTGCACACATACATATGACTGATACGGAAATTAAAGCTAATATTGTGTATATATTGTGCCAAGTTTATTTACATACATAATTGATGTTCAATTCAAATTGTTGCTGTTGTGTGTGACCGGCGTGTATAAATGGGATAGATAGAGATGTGCAATAACTGATCTACATAGTTGATCTAAGTTTATAGAGTGGGCTAAAGTTTGATATGAGCAACAACTGACTTACATAGATGGCTTTAAATGATCTAAAATCCAGTAAATATAACAATGGACATGTGTAAACTAATCGGGTAAATGGAGATGAACAATAATAATGTTATCAATCAGTGTTGTATAACTATTTACATAGAACCGTTGCGTTTTACTCACAAATGTGTAACAGGTGGCTTTTATTATAATTTTTCACAAATGCATTGAGCAAATGAGCAGGTTATATGAATAAAAAGACTTATTAACACTCGAGCTAAGCCAAAAGTGTCATTGCAAAGTATTTGATGCTGCATTATAATAGTATAACAGTCACTGCTGTAATAGCATTCGCTGTATGAACAGTTGCCGAACACTTCTTATTCACAGTTAAAGAGTATAAAAGTTACTATTTTAACAGTAATTATTACAGTAAAACCCAGTAAAAGCTACGATGAATTGACCTGTTGTCAAGCAACTTTTGACTCAATTGCTGTAAAGCCATGACAAATATTGATTTATTTATATAAGAAATATTGATTATCTATATTTGTATATACTTAGTTAGAGAAACCAAACTAACCCACGCGCCCGGTCACACTTGCGTTTCGTTTGTTTCCGACATGTGGGAATCAAGGTTTTACAAATTGATCAGTTTTTCTCTCTCTCTACCGCTAGTTTGTTAAGTTTATGTGAGAATTCGAACTAGTTCGATGCAGTCAGTAAATTACTTTTAAGTGTAAAGAACATTTGGTGTGTGGGCTGAACACGTTGAAATAATAACGTTAACCCTTATGGGTGGACTATTTAAAAAATATATATGCATATGCATTTTATATGTTTAGTCTGATGCACAATTTATCTAAATAAAAAGATTACTTTAAATGAAGAAAATAATTTTTAGAAATATTTCAGTTGTATTTTTTCTATTTATTTTTGTGTTTAAATTATAGTTTGAGTTGGAACTTAACATAAATTCGAATTAACAATTTAACATTACCAAAAAATAAAAAAATTAGACATCTTTAGGTTTTTTTTTTTGAAAATAATTATATTTTTATTTTATGTTTCTTGAGCTTATATTTAAAAAATATTTCAAATATTTAAAAAGTTACACTTTTTATTTTAAAAAAATTTAATTTAAAAAAAAATAAAATTTGTAAAATTTAATTTTTGTAAGTTCCTTAAACCTGAAGTTTTAACCACTTGTCAAATTACTGAATCATCCGGAACTTTAAAACTGAAATGAGAAATTTAAACTAAAAAATATCAGAAGTAAATTACACAAAAAGCAAAACAAACTCAATTGCTTAGCAATTATTCATTGTAGTTAGATGCCACTGTATGCTGCTGTTATATTCATACCGCCTGGTGAAATACAAAACCCGGACTATTTTTATAATGCGAACTGATAGGCTAAGCACTCAAAGCATATTTAACCCACATAATGCATTGGCCAAGATAAGCGTTTCGAAATATGTTTGGCTAAAGGAAGAATTCTGTTTGGTCACGTCATAATTATCAATTGAATTTTAATTTCATTTAGTTATATTGTAATTACATCGATTAGAAGACGCGCGACCTTATCACACCTGGCGAAATTCCCAAAGGTTTCAATGAGGGACAATTAAGCGCTTTGTTAAAGCGTTGCCAAAGCAATTGACATGCAAATTGAGTATATAATATATGTATTTTATATATATAGCATATATACAATATGTGTACACATATATACCCTTATATAACTGCAATTGCCGTCTATAATAGTTGATAGATTCGTTGGCTCGTTTAGTGCTAATTTATTTGTTAAGTTTAAAACATTTGTTTAAATAGTTTAATGGGAATTTCGGTGAGTTCGTCTCTTCAGTGCTTGTCGTTTCAGAAATAATATTTAATCAAGCTAAGAGTCTGGAAAGTTAAACAAACGATATCTTATCTGTCAATACGATAACCTTCAAAGAGCACTAGGCAAAATTAAAATTTTGCATGACTATTCAGTTACTTAGCACAGTTGTAACTTCTATATAAGCAATATTACATATATATTATATAGAATCAGATAAGACTTGAATACAAATCTATGTATTATATAGAAGTTCAAAGCATTTACTATCAGCTGTGAGTGAATGAAAAAAATGCATTGTCATCATTATAAGTGAATGATGATATGAAGTCATTAACATACAGTCAGCATTCAATAAAGGGCACTATTATGACTTCTATAAATATGCAACAAATGTTGGTGAAAATCTCATAAATTTTGTTGTATAACAAAGATTTAGCAGACATTAGTAAAGTCAGCAAAGCTAATTCACGTATGGAGTATAACACTTCCGCTTTGTTTAACTACTCATGTATAATAAAGTTTGAAATCACGATTCTCATATAAAAAAGTATTCAAAAATACATTAAGTTATAAAATTATGCAATTTAATTTCAATTTTCAAATTGAATTATATAGAATATTCAAATACTTGCTCAAATACAAGCGTATAACAAATCATTAAAAACGTACAAAGTGAATGTGCTTAAAGTGTATAACACACTTCACAAAGCTTATTGGCGGCGTGCGCATGTAGCCCTGGCAATACAATTTATCGATAGCTTTATATTTGGCAGCCCTCACTGCCGATAAACACCAACAACATTGTCAAGTAACAGATAAGAAACCGAAACTGTCTGGCCAAAAGAATTGCATACGTTGTCGTCACAGCTAAAAAAAACAGAAAAGCAAAGAGTTTTAACAAAAGGTTAAACAACTGAGGAGCTGGCAACATGTGTTTTAAGGAAAATGTTGGTTATTTATAGACAGTACACGCATAGATATGAGATACGAATACAAGCTGGTATAGAAATTTACGGCAATATATTAATTTCTACATAATTCAAATATTAATTTGAGTATTTGCCATGTCTATTCCACAGCTGGCCAGCGATGATAAATTGTCGCAGCCAAACCGGCGCAAAGGCAGCTCCGGCAACGGAAGCGGAAATGGACGTGGCGGTGTGACCAGCGGTCTTAAAGTTTCATTTCTATGTTTGGTTGTCTCTGTTATCCTGCTGCTGTTTATCTTTGGTGTGTATCAATTGTATTATGCTAAAGCAACCAGTCCAAATGTATCGCAACTAACAAAATCCTCTGTTTTCCCCACCGTCTCCATTCACTATCGTTCACAAAAACAACAATCGCAATCTGGTTCAGGCATTGCCTCGGACAATGCGAGTCCATATCTGGCACGCCTCGCCTCAAAGCTGGGCTACAGCAAGGTCCAATACGCAGCCATCATAGATGCCGGCTCGACAGGCAGTCGCATTTTGGCATACAAATTCATTCGCAGCTTCATTGACAACAAACTGGTGCTGTATGAGGAACTGTTCAAGGAGCGCAAGCCGGGACTCAGCTCATTTGCTGATAATCCCGCCGAGGGTGCACACTCAATCAAGCTGCTTTTGGACGAAGCGCGTGCCTTTATACCCAAGGAGCATTGGTCGTCCACGCCGTTGGTTCTAAAGGCCACAGCTGGTTTGCGTTTGCTGCCCCAGAGCAAGGCTGAAAATCTGCTGAATTCCGTTCGTGATTTGTTTGCCAAGTCAGAGTTCAGTGTGGACATTGATGCTGTAGAGATAATGGATGGCACGGATGAGGGCATCTTCAGTTGGTTTACCGTCAATTTTCTGCTCGGCCGTCTATCCAAGACGAATCAGGCAGCTGCCCTAGACTTGGGCGGTGGCAGCACGCAGGTCACCTTCTCGCCCACAGATCCCGAACAGGTGCCCGTGTATGATAAGTACATGCACGAAGTGATTACCTCCAACAAGAAGATCAATGTGTTTACGCACAGCTATCTCGGCCTGGGTCTTATGGCAGCTCGTCATGCCGTTTTCACCAAGGGCTATAGCGCCGAGGACACATTTGTGGAGAGCGTCTGCGTTAATCCCATTATAGCCAATCGCACATGGACATATGGCAATGTCAAATATCAAGTCAGCGGCAAGGAGAACAGCAAACTCACCGCTGAACAGCCAGTGGTTGACTTTGAAGCCTGCCTGGAGCTAGTTAAGAGCAAGGTCATGCCTTTGGTCAAACCGAAGCCGTTTACACTCAAACAGCATGCCGTGGCAGCATTTAGCTACTACTTTGAGCGTGCCATCGAATCGGGACTGGTGGATCCCACAGCTGGCGGAGAAACGACCGTGGAGGCCTATCGCAAGAAGGCCCAAGAAATCTGTGCCATACCCAATGATGAGCAACCATTCATGTGCTTTGACCTGACCTTCATATCTGTGCTGTTACGTGAAGGATTCGGCCTAAATGATGGCAAGAAAGTTAAGGTAGATTGGAAATCGCTCAAAAATTCTATATGTACTTATATTTTCTTATTCTCTTAGCTCTACAAGAAGATCGATGGCCATGAAATCTCTTGGGCCTTGGGCTGTGCCTATAATGTCTTAACCAGCGATGAGAAATTCAATAATTCCTAGTTCTCTTCTTCACTTAGTCTGTAGATATATATATATCTATTATATATATATATATATAGCTGAAATTGTTTATGGAGTGCCTTAGACGTGCATCGAAGTATACTATACACACACACACTCACACACAGACATTTACTCAACTTATAGTCTATATAGTCTATATCTGCTAGCCAGTTAAAATATTTATGCGCTATGAATTCATTTCAATTGCCTTTAATTGAAAGCGCAAATTCATTTAGATATATATTGTGTAGAGGCCGCACTTGACTTTGTTTATAGTTTTCTTTTCTAATTCCGTTTTTTTGGTGTGATTGTCTTCATTTTGTATGTAAATTAACTACGCCACGATAACTCGTAACATCCTCCTAGGTTTTAGACTCAAATACATACCTTTATATGTACATACTTTAAATAAATATAAATCTGCATGCATATCTAATTTATGGAATTGTTTACATATTTAAATGAATTGGAAATTATGCCAGTTATATAACTAATTAGTTTATTTTTGCAATAAAGTAAATTTGTTAAATTGGAAACTGAATAAGTAGTTTTTTTAACAATTGAATTTTCAATACTTTTTCGCATTTCTCTTGCTGAACACTTCCAGGATTTCTATTCTCTTCGATCTTTATTTGCATACTATAATAAAAATAGTGTCTTTATTTACGTTTTACTCTATTATATTACAAATATAAAAAATGTTTTCATGGCTTGTTTATCAAAACATATATATAAATGCATAACAAGCAAAAATTGTTGAAGTAAAGTAGCTAACATAGAAATGAACTTTTGTTTTACATTGTTTAGACTCTACATGAATCGTTACTTTTTGGGCTCTTTAAGGTATCCGTTATATAAATTAATCATTTAACATTGGCTATAGCTTTTGTCTTAATATCGTTTTCCTGACTTTTATGCTTGATTCACCATTTGTGGCTGAATGCCCAGCCTATCGATAATATACTGCGGCATGCAGAGCGTCGGATTGATGACCTTTAAGCCGGAGTGGCCCAACAGGGAGAGGCCGCCGATCCCGAAGAGCGTGTGGAATATATCGGGCATATTGCCCGTGCGATCTGAGAAGCCGCCTGTCTCTGTATCCTGACACGAGAGTATAAACTGTTGCAGTTTCTCAGAGCTAATCCAATGCAAGCGTCCCATAATCGTAAGCGATGAGAGCACCCACCAGGAGTAGCAGACATCGGGCAGCTTTTCGGGGCGACCATTGAGTCCGCCCGAGGGCAGTTGTCGTTCGCAGAGCCACCAACCCAGCTTGTCTACATCCAGCAGATGCAGCCGCTGTGTGAGCGACAGAAAGCCTACGCAGCAATAGATGAGTCCTGCGAAGAATCGAAGATGATGAATAATGACCTTACTGATAATCATGGCAATTGTGACTCACCAGCATGTGACTCAGCGCCCGGCTTGGAGCCGAAACCACCATCCGTCTGATTGCAGCATGACATGACAAACTTGACCGCCTTCTCTACATCAATGGTCTGCTCCATTCGCTTGAGCAGAGTCAACGTGGCCACTGCACAGAAACTAAACCTGTTGTCCACCTCGCCCCATTTATCGCCAAAGAAGCTGCCATCAGGCTGCTGCAGACCGACTACAAAACGTACCACAGCATCACAATCGATTTCGTCCAGCGCATCGTAGGTGGCCAGCACCTGGATAGCAGACAGCGTGTACAGCATGTGTGGATCGTGTCCCTCGCAGGGGGCGAAGCCGCCGCTGGACGGGCACTGGCAGCGCTTCACGAACTCAATGATGGACTTGCGATCTAGACGATCCAACTGGCCCATTATATCCAGCGCTGTGACACCCCAAAAGATGCCGGACATACGCAGGAACTCGGTCATGCAGTATTCGTAGTCATCCTCCTGTTTGCCATGATTCTCAATGTATTTGACGTGTTTCCAAAATTGTAGTTTGCTTGTGTCATTACTTTCAGTGGCTCCGCCATTTGAAGGCTTAACGAAGGTCGTGAAATCCATCGCTGATTGTATTCAATTGAGTGTTGATTTTTAGCAATTAATTGCTCTACTGCTGTGTTGACATTATTAATGCCTTTCAACAATTTAGTTGTCTCTTTGCCAGCGGCGGAGTGAACGAAATGTACTAAAAAATCTCTAAACTAATAAAAATACTACAGCTGCAGCTGATTCTCAACTATGTTTGAAACCCATTTTTATTTCTGAAGAAAATCATGAATAGAAGTCTTTGGACAATACTTATCAATTATTAAGTGGGCTTAAAAATTTACACAATGTATTAATATTTATAAATAAATATATTTATAAGAGAATACATTTTTAGAGAAATAATTGGCAACGCAATGTTTTGCCATTCACCGTAACTAACAAACAAAACACAAGCAAATTCTACAGTGAATAAAAGAAGTATGTCAATTTACGATTAATAAATAACTGCATAGGTTTTTGTTAAAAATAATGCTCTTCCATATATAGAAAATTTTAATTTTTCTTTAAGTATACATCCTAGTTGGTTTTGGTTTTCTTCTTAAACCTATTTATCTACAACTTATGTATAGGTGTTTAACAAAGAAACTACAATGAAGATTTACTTTTTAGGTTCTCTGTAAATACATGTGTAGTATGTATGGGAGATATTACATGCTTATATTATATATACACGCACATATTGTTTACAGAATTGTCGAGGTACGGGGCTCGTCTATGTTTAGTGAGACGATATGCTTCTTGGCCACCATAACGTTTCCCAGCAGCCGAGGTTCTTGACCCTCCACCAAATACTCTGCGCACATGGACAGCACAATGTTAGCATCGCGATCCGTGCAGTTGAAGAAGCCAACCAGCACACGTCCATCGGTTATAACGATGCGCAGGACACGACCCAACCACTTCTGAAGCTTTCGCCGTCCTGGCGTTAAGTTTGCATCGAGCATTTGCGGTGAATTTGTTGTTATGCGAAAGGGCTCTGCGGTGGCTGGCGGTGGTGGCGGAGGCTGCATTTGTGTGCCGCTGATACTGAAGTCAGAAATGTCACTTCCAAGCCTTCTTTGTTATAAAAGTATATGTTTTTAATGTGAATTACTAAGTAAAAGTGTTCGTTTTACTTTACATGTTTGTAAGCGTTCCCCAAATAAACTCGACAGCTATTTATCGCTAGAGATGCAATCAGTGCTATCGATATTTTAATAGCGCTTGTATGATATCTTAAGTTGATAGGGTGCTATCGAAAGTTTGACAGCTGCATCTGCGTTTTTAATTAGTTTTTCCGTTCACTTTATTTGCTTGACTTATTTTCAAGATGTCGAACAAAGCACTTAATATTGGTGATCAGTTTCCCAATTTCGAGGCCCAGACAAATGTGGGAAGAATAGATTTCTATGACTGGATGGCCGATAGCTGGGCCATACTCTTCTCGCACCCGGCGGATTTTACTCCTGTTTGCACAACGGAGCTTGCACGAGTTGCCCAATTAATTCCGGAGTTTTTAAAGCGTGGCATTAAACCAATAGCTCTCTCATGTGACACAGCGGAGTCACATAACGCCTGGATCGAGGATATTAAGAGCTATGCCAGTAAGTTACGACAAAAGATGTTAATTAGTTGAATGTATAAACTTGCTTGCAGAGCTGGCGAGCTTTGATTATCCCATCATTGCTGATAATAAACGTGAATTGGCTCTTAAGCTGAATATGCTGGACAAAGATGAGTTGAGTGCAGAGGGCATACCGCTTACCTGTCGCGCTGTCTTTGTCATTGATGACAAGAAGAAGTTGCGTCTCTCCATCTTATATCCAGCGACAACAGGTCGCAATTTCGAGTGAGCTTCAATTTTTATTTTCAATTTAAGCTTTGATTGATTTATTTATTATGCATCGTAGTGAAATTCTGCGTGTTATCGACTCGCTGCAACTGACACAATCAAAGAGCGTGGCCACGCCCGCCGATTGGAAACAGGGCGGCCAGTGTATGGTGCTGCCTTCAGTGCAGGCTGTCGATGTTCCAAAGCTGTTTCCCAAGGGGATTGAGACAATCCAAGTGCCATCTGGCAAGAACTATTTACGCATTACGGCACAGCCGCAGATCTAGTGCATCCTTCCACAAAAGACGGCCGTAAATTGTGATAATCAGCATTTTACATGATTTTATTACAAAAATTATAATTAGCAACAAATTAAATGGTTTTTTTTCTGTTTTTTACAACCATTTGCCACAGTCTATGAACAAAAAGAAGAGGCAGCGCTATGGGCCAAGGCAAAAGCGCGCCCAGCCTGGGCAAAATGAACAAAAAGCTTTTGACTTAATAACTAAAATAAATGTTGATGGGATAGGGGGGAATGTGCCACTAATAGCTTAGATGTTTGTGTCTCGTTTGCGACTAACACATACTATAATATATAAAATATACATATTGCAACTGGATAAACCTTAAGAAACTAATACAAGGCCAACTCTGTACAAGAAGTGCAAAGCATTCGAGAATAAAATCAAGCCACACAAAGCTCGTGCCCATAACCGCGAGTATCTGCAAGCGATTAAAGGATCTTAGTCAATAACAGTAGAGAGTTAAGTAAATACTAGGAGTACTTACAATTTAACTACCATACCAATTTAGCTAGTCTAATGGTTTGCGCCGTCAGCGGCGCTTGCTCTCTACCAGTCGCGCCAACCGTCGAACCACAAAAGGCCACAGCACCAACACTGCAAACCATATTGGCGATATATCCTTGAATGGCCACCAAGCGGGCTGCTGCTGTCGCCCATTCTTTGCCTGTAACTTTTGTGCATTGCGCAGATCCAGCAATGATTGCTCCATGCTGCGCACTCGCTGCTGCACTGCAGCCATATCGCTGTTCATGCTTGTCACTGTGTTTTGGATTTGCCGCAGCAGATCCGTATTGTGCGTGATAGCTTGTGTAAGTTCTTGGGGCAGCATCGTTTCATAGGGATCATCGTATTCATCATCGGATGGCTCTACAATGGCCACGCTACTGTTATTTGTGTAATTGTTATTGCTGCTAGAGTCGTGCATTGAGTAGCCATTGCTTGCTTTGGTGCTTGTAAACCCATTGGTCAGTGGACTTGCGTGGCCATTGGTTAAGGTCTCTGTGGACGAGGCAGCAATGGGAGTATCCTCAACATCAATTCCATTTGAACTGTTGCCATGCTGTGGACTGTTTGTGCGTGAATGAAACGGTGAATTGGGATGCGATTCGGCTAGTTCACGCATGCCAGGCGATACCAGCTCCAGTTCGTCTAAGTTGATGTTGCTTAGGCCGTCGAGGCTGCCCACAAAGTTTTGCACATTCTCCGTAAACGACATGGTTTCAATAATTTCCTGCAGGCTCTCTACATAGCGCTGCATCGCCTGTTCTTTGCTCAAATGTCGATTGCTGTTCCAAGCATCCCATTTTGCACGACCCACCACATCCCAGAAGGCCGGCTTCTTGGGCGAGCAATTGCCCTCCGATGCCTGCTTAAATAGTCCATAAAACTTGAGCATCATGCTCATGCTGGGCTGATAGGGTCCATTCTTAGGTAGTCCTTTGATCACGTTGACAGCCGCCTGGAAACGTTCCTCAATGCTGGCCATGGTTAACTGAACAAATTGCTGCAATGGAAATTGTAATTCAGCTAGTCATAAATTATAGATTAGATACAGAAACAGCGGCTAAGGTTCAGCGATAATCGCTTCTGCCGCTCGTAGGTCCCCGCTTAGCGAGCTGTTTGAATTGAACATTTTCTAGACACGCTGGTGAATGGCGCTGATGCTGTCGCAAGCAGCTTACAAATTACCTAATTAACTTGTGCAAGTGCAGACACCCAAAATTGACGCTGTAAATATCTAACAGATTGTGATATTGCTGTTGTTGTTGTCGCTGCTACTGGAATTTTGTTATTGATTCACATCCACATCGACGGACTCTTTCAACTGCATACGTATGTGCGTGTGTGAGTGAGTGAGTAGAAGTGACAAAGTTCGTGTTCTGTAGATTCGAAGTTCAATGCAGTATATTATTATTGCTGCTGTTATTGTTTGTAGCAAACGAGCATTTTTGATAATGGACTACTTATCAGCATGAAGTGCGATTTGTTTATGCGAACAATAAAGCAGCAACCGACGGTTTGCTGCCTACCTACTACTTGTTTTTAAATGCGTTTTGCAATAAAAATAAACATACTATGGAAATGATTGTGTGTGTGGGACCACATATCGATATCTATTGAAAGTTGCGATACTTATTGAAATTGTATTTGTCGGTATCGATGCCAAATACTGGGTGCTCCAGCACTATATACAATAGACTTGAGCTCTGCAATCATATGATTGAGAGTAGAGTATAAAAATATATAAGTTGGTCACCAAATGCCTAATCATCTGCTTAAGTGATCTGCTTATTGATCAGTGTTTGATTTACAGATTTACAGATAACACGTAATTTAGGTAAAAAAAATAGCCACAGAATCATATAAAAATAAATTTAATATTTTTTGACGTTCGTTAGTATATTAATGTGTTTTTGCATTTTAAGAAAGAAAAGTCTATGAAGAAGGCTTCAATATAATTAGGCCTTTAGATGATTTTGTTATCTGCATTTATTTTTAATTTATTATCGATAACAAAGCATATTCTTTAATTCAAAGAATAAGTAGTTAATTTGTTTTATTTTTAGTATATGATAAAAAGTCGTTGGTTGATTATTTATAATTAAATCATATTTACTGCTCGCGCCCCTTTTTGTCAAACAGCTGATTCGATATTCTCAAATATCAACACTGAGTTTATGTGTACATTATTTAAAATAAAATATAATTATTTTCAGTTACAATATATTCAAAATCGAGTTAGAAAACCTACTGCAGATTTTAATCATGTTATTTTGAGACATTTAGTTTAATTCTAATGAATGGGATGTATTTTTTAATTTTGACACAGTGTGCGCAGGTGTGCGAACGCAAGGTTGTGTAATCTTAAAAATTCGATAACTTATTAGCTTAGATCAGTTCTCAACACTGTTTCGAATGTGTCATTATAATTTCGTCAACTTCAGCAATACGAAAAGTGCTTAATTATTTGCATTATTTTAACAACTCACCTACGACGTAGAGCTTTTGGCAAAAGCTGCAATAATCAAAGCTAAAGCTGTGCATGCGTGCATATTGAAAACAACAGTTAATACCAAACGTAGCCACAAACGGTGCAGCAAACAATTTCACAACTCGATTAACACCCTCGGAAAAGGCGGCGCTGTCGACGTCAGACGCAGTCAGTCTCAAGGCCAAGGAAGTCGCAAAGCAAATTCAATTGCAATTAAACATGAAATTTGTGTCACCACAAAGCAACGACCAACATTTTTATAATCAGAAGCACCAACAGCAGCAGCAGCAGCATATAAATATAAAACGCGCGTTTAAATCTACAACATTCAGTTCAGTAAAAGTTCTCAACATTTCCAAACGCGTGTTGTGCAACAAAATTCAACAGCAGGCGCAGCAACAAAGACAATATTGGAAACATAAAAGCTTTTGCATAGCTGCATCTTGATTAAAAGTTTTGGAATTTAAGCAAAGCAAATAAAAGCAAAAGAACTCCCTTTATCAAATCGCAGAAAATTCTAACCTAAATTCCTGAACGCCCAACGCATAGAAAATCAATAAAAGCAGAGAACACGTGCAAGTGCCGCCAATAGTTGCCGCCAAACGCGTGTGTGTAGACTTTTTTGTGTAGACTCTCTCAATCTCGCTCGCGCGTTAAAAGGACACTGTCCATCGCGGCTCGTGTTTGGTGAGTAGAACAACGATCGTAGTAAAGAAGAGCCAAAGCAAAACCAAACACAAAATTCGTGGTTATATCGAACAAAGCAACAGCAACAACAGCATCAATATGTCGCGACGCAATAAGAAAGCAGCAGGCAAAGGTGAGTCACAAAGAAACAAAGCAATAGACATTGCTCTGGGAAAGGGTGGGAAAAGTATTGTGAACTTTAGCTACTTTTTAAAATTGCTACCAATAGAAAATTTGTATGTTGGCCGTTTGCACACTACTTTCTGGCACACATTACTCATGCACATGCCATGTTTTAATAGCATGAAATATACATTTCATTGGCTTCGAGAGCTTTCGTCTCCAACCTGTTTGGCAATCATCGAAATAAGTATATTGTTGCTGCGCTGGCAAAAGCAAAAAAGCTTTGCACGCGCTCAGCTGGTGAATCAAGCAAAAGAAAAAATACAAAAATTTAACTGTTATGTATATTGGACTATTGAAATACCCTGTGAGGGAAATTTGGAAAACAGGAAATATGTATAGTTGTTGTTCGGCATAATTCAGTAGATATCTAGACGTAACAGCTAAAATTCCTTTACACCTATTTATATATTTCTATAGCTTTAGATTTTGTTTTCATTTCAATTGTGTTGAATATGCCATACTTTGTAACAAGTTCAGGGTATGTTCACACAATGTAAGTGTGAACGTTCAATGCCAGCTTATCAAGAAATACACAAAGAAACACACAGTCTTGTATACATATGTGAGTGTGTATTTATTTATTTTCCTGTATTTCTTAGCAATTCTGCATGTAATCATATGTGAGCACATCACTGTGTATCTCAAATTGCTATTTAGAATATCTATTAAATATTTTAGAGTTTGAAAGCTTTTCATAGCATTTACCATTTAATAAAGGGTTTTAAATTATGAAATTTATCAAGTTTCAATCAAAACTCTACAATCAAACTCACCAAACAACTTTCAAATCAAAGTTTGGGTTTTCCAACAGCTGTTTTCAGTTGTTGCTGTGATTAGAAAATAAGCAATAATGTTGGCAATATATGTATATTCATATATACATTGTTCGTGAGTATGTGTAAACCTGCTACAATGAGTGAATGAAAACTCAATGCCGGAAACTACCTTGTCCTCATTCAATAGCCAGGTGGTAAATGAAAATTGTTAGAATGTGTGTGTGTGTGTGTTTCGGTGTGCATAGAAAGTTGAGCAACAACAAACACTAAAACTTGTTGCACAACATTTTCACATGAAGGTCACACAATTGCCCTAAAAACAAAAAAGAAATGCGAATCGACATTCAATTACTTTTGTTTTACGAATTACGTATATAAAATATATACACATACAACTTTATTTATAACACACCCACACATACACGTACCTAAAATAATCGCTGCTAGGGGAAAATTATAATATTCATTTGTGTGCAATCACATACATATGTTGGTATATGTGTGTATTTCAGTCTGAATCATTTCACAAGCAATGAATGTGTTAACAGTTTGAGTAGCAATATGCAAGCTTAACAGTGAATGCCGTCATTTTACAGTTTGACTTCCATTGTCATATAAATATGATTTTATGTTATATAAATTGACATTAACAGTTTAAAACATTTTTGGCTATAATGTTAAGTATCATTTATGTTATGTTAAGCTACACTAACAGCGTACATCAATGGAATTCTACCAATCAAGAAATCTTACAGTTTTAGGTGGCTCTATTCAGACTGAATTTATGTTATGTTAACCCAAATAGCCCAACCAGTAGCCATTACATTTTGCTTTACCTTGTTTGAGCAGCAATTTAATGCAACTCTTCTTTTACTCATGCTCATTTTCAATCTGCAGCCCGCGCCAACGACTCGAACTCAGAGGACGAGTCCTTTGACAATGTAAGCGTTTATTCGCACGTCTCGGAGGCTGCCTCTTCAGAGGCTGCAGAGGACCTAGCCAATGAACGCTTCGAGGAAAAATTCGAAAAGGCCCTTGAGCAGGCTACTGAGAAATCGGCACAGACACGCATTCAAGCCCTGCAGTCCATCTGCGAGCTGCTTATGCATCGTTATATGCCCGATTTTGTTGAGGATCGCAAAATGACGCTTATGGACTTTGTGGAGAAGAGCGTGCGCAGGGGCAAGGGCCAGGAGCAGGTGTGGGGCGCACGTTTGGCCCCGCTCCTGGTGCTGCAATTGGGCGGCGAGGAGGGCATGTCGAAGGCGATGAATCAGTTCCTTTTGACAACCGTACAGGACAAGTCTGTTAATTATGATGCACGTGCCAAGTGCTGCACAGCCTTGGGTCTGCTCAACTTTTTGGACTGCGAGGATATCGGCGAACTGGTCCAGTTGATGCAGTTCTTCGAGTCCATCTTTGCCGGCAGCTACTTGCGCGGCGACGATAAGACACCAGTTTCTGTCACTGCCGAAGCAGGCACTCTACATGCCGAGGCTCTGTCTGCATGGGGCTTGCTGTTGACACTCGTGCCCTCTGGCGATTTTGTTTCCTTGATGACCACCGGACAGCATAAATTTCCGTAAGTTAATAAAAAGATTTCTAATTAGTAGTTAATAACTGATGACTCATGATTGCCCTTGCAGCTCTATCAAAAAGTTTTTGGGTCTACTGCAATCACCGCATCTGGATGTTCGAATGGCTGCTGGCGAGACCATAGCTTTGATTCTGGAATCGGGTCGTGCACATGATGAGAACTTCCTGGAGGACGACATCGGCGAGCTATGCGACGCTGTCAAACAACTTGCCACCGATTCGCACAAATATCGTGCTAAGCGTGATCGCAAGGCTCAGCGTGCCACCTTCCGAGATGTGCTGCGCTATTTGGAGGTAATGCAAACTGCCTAAAGGACAATACTATTCTTTCACTTTCAAATTTGAAGTTTAATTGGACACTTTAAACTTGTACATATGAAGGGAGAGTAGAGAAAGATTACACGTGCATACGTAGAATGAAAGGAACGAAGTATTGGCAAGATCAAGGCTTCATGTCGGTGCAGTTGAACCGAATCTCGTGCCTACAATGTTTCGCCAAGCATTTGGAGTGGTCGTGCAGTTTGTTTCGCATTATAATGCAACCATTGCGACTGATGGAGTCCATATATTCCGTAAAGTTCGGCGCCTTGCTGAATGTGCTGGACGCCGTCTTCCAATGCGAGTTATTACCAGAGTTCACAAATCGCGAGGAGTCTGAGAAAGTTGCCTGGAATGGCTTATACGCCTGCTCACACTCATCGGCTTTCACTTCATAGCCGGTGGAATTTTCTCGCTCTAACTGCTTCACCACATCCGAACGGAACTCGGAGCACGGCGCCTTATTCGCCATCAGCTTATCAGACTTTATTTTGGATACCTCGTCTTTTGGTTTCAAACTATCGTAAATACCCTCAGGATACTCGTTAACATCGCAATAGTCGATTTGATAGGTCGTATACATGCGATTCGAGTCTATTCTTCGACTCAATTCTTCTTTTGGCATTAACTTAAGGCGCTCATACAAATCTGGGTAGACGTTGCGTAAGATTTTTAGGAACCGATTCGGCTGCAGCTTCATGCAATCGGACTCCGGTGACATTGCCATTTGGTCGATCTGATCCTGCGGCAATTCAGTTGGTATCAAACGTGGATCTACCAACCGCCCCATTGGCGCTACGCCCGTCCATTCAACGCCCGCGCAGTTCTTGACTGCATCTGGATGCGCCTTAATCTTGTCATCCTCTATACACTCACATTCCACAATTTTTTCGCCGCCAAGGCCATCGTGGGTCTTTAGGTGGCTCATAAACTCATACCGCTTTGTATTTGGCGGTACATAGTCATGCTGATATGTGGAAAGCATTATTTAGAAGGCCTAAAAGAAGTAGATTTTTTCAAATGTTTTTAACCTTTTTTTTTTTTTATTATTTAATTTTGTGTTCGTTAAGAAAAAGTAAAGATAGGTTTAGTGTGAAGGGAAATATTCTAAAATCTAAACTTTTTCGACTGAAATTTCTCTCGATGCTTACTAAAATTGTTATTTGTAATTTTGCAGGAGGATATTTCACCTGAGATCAATATACGCTTCGGACATGATGCTCTCACCTTAGATGCTTGGTCCATACATCATCAGTACTCATCCCTGTGCGCCGTTATGGGTCCTGGCATGACCTCTCAGCTGCAGGAGAACGAATTCATACGCGATATTTTCCAACTGGGCCCGCGTCCCAATAATGTGGGCATCAATGGCAATGCCAAAGTCAAGCAGTCCAAGCTGGAGCGTGTAAGTATAAATAAATAATATATGTCCTGATTTGCTATAATTAATATATGTATTCTTTTATCTCGTTGCAGCATCTGGTGAATGCCGCAGCATTCAAGGCACGTTCCATAACGCGTGGAAAAAACCGTGACAAGCGCTCGGCTGTCGTTCAATGAGCACATCCTACGCTGCCCAGTCTCCAGCAACTCATCTAGCAACATATATCTATAAAAATATAGGCACAAGCACTCATCATTAGCCGACCCAGGACTCTCGCCTCCCATTAGTTGAATTGTTTCACGTAGTTGATAAGACGGCTTAGCATACTAACAAACAAAGCATCAGTCGCTTCAAATTATGCCAATTACGGCCAAGTTATATTTCGTGACTAAATTCATATAGTTGTTGGCAATCAACAGAATAAAAGATATTTAGCTTATAGATTTTAGTTCATTTACCATAAATAGTGCATATAAAATAATAGCTAGTAATGTGATCTTTAAATTGAATTTTTGGCATTGAATTGTTGCCAGCTTGAAGGACTGTGTGAATTTTAGTTCAGTTTACATTTTTTCCCATTTATATGACATGGAACTTTTACGTTGTTCATTTTCAAATGTATTTACATATACAGTACATTACGATTGTATACAATAGTTAAAAGTATGTCAACGCTCGACTTGTCTCTAATTATGCATATTATGTAAGCATATTCTGTACACACAAAATAATTATACATTTTATAGGTAAACCGTGTAAAATAAATGTATAACCCTAGACTTAAAGGAAACACACATGCGAAGACTTTTTAATTGGAAACCAAATTTTGCAGGTTCATTGCTTTTAGATGAACTTAGAGAAAGTTCTGGTGACCCTGACAGCAAATGACAGTTCCGCTTCTACAGAGCTCCTTAACAGCAATCATGCTTAACTTATACCATCTCTGCAAACCACCTTTTATATGAATTACAGTTGTAGGTACTGGTCGCATTTGACATGGACACCATGACACCATTGATAGCAGCGCATAACCTTCGGAGTGCCCCTTGCCCCTGTTAACAAAAGCCAGAGCTACGTATAACTTTCAACATCTCTGAAGACCTCATTTTATATGAGCTACAAACAGTTGCAGCTTAACAGTTGATTTTACAGTGCGCCATCTCTCTGACCTGGATCTATCGATTAACAGATGCCCTTGCTGTACATCGTTTACTTGAGCTGTATTTAAAGACTAACAGCTTCTGCAATACATTAACAGATCCATTTGAAGTCTATACGTTAGCAGCAACCTTACACTTGCCACTTGAGCGTGCTTGGGAAACTGAAAAATATTTTTGTTCTCCTTATAAAGCTATACGAAGATACAACAAAATAAAATATGCGTTTTATTTGATATAAAGATTTAATTTATATTTTAACTGGTTTATCACAAAAATGTATGTTAGCTTAATGTGTAAATATGTTGTGTTGAATTTGTGGATACTATGTTTGTGTAGCAAAATATGCTTTGAATAACACAATTCAAATGTGGGCGCGGTTTTTGGGTTTATATAAATAATTGAATAAATTGTTTATAAATTAGGTTCGTTAAGTATAGGCTTAAGGGGTACTGCGAACAGTATTCGCATTGAATACAAATTACACGAAAAAAAAGTAAAAAAATACAAGTATAATATGTATATGTATGTTGTTTGTGTATGTGTTCCTAAATTAATATTCGCCAAATAAACTTAGCTGTGCTGTATGGAGAGACGTACGCGTTACATACGCTCACAATTTAAGATCTTAACGTTTTTATATATATATAAATATATATGCTACAAACTACAAACATGCTCAGCTAGACTGACATTGACTGGTGCCTTTGTTAACTCTACTCGTTTATAATTTTTCTTTTTATAAAATGAAAAAACATCTCCAACTACTTGGCAACGTGTGTGTGTTATTGTAATCATAATCTCAAAACGTTCTCCGTAATTTGTGTAAGATAATTGATACTGGCTTATGTATGTGGTACACAGATTATATAATATTTGGCTTGTTTTTTTGTTTTGTTTTAATACATGTACCGCCTGGAATAATGCGTGCTACTTTGAGAGACAAAATTGACTCGTTTTTTTGTTTTTGTTGTTTCGAACCATTTTCCTACACACTAAATGACTTAAAACCTATGTACACAGTTTGCGGGGAAGAATTTTTTGGAGGGGGCCTTGAGCAAAAATGTGTGCAAAACGGGCGCTAAATCTAAAAAACTATATCGTTCGTGTCGTGTCTCTCGTCTGTCTGAATGTGATATATATTTATATAAATATGTATACTCCGTATTTGCATTTGTGTACGGGTCAGAGGTTTCCTTATAACATAGATTTTAACTCCTGTTTGTTTTAGGAGGCGGCCTGTGATGCTGCAGCTGCCGCTGAGGTGCTAGCTGTACTGACATCCTCGCATATGGTATGAAGCTTCTCCATCTCTGAACTAGTCACAATGTTAATGGAGCTAACCTTGGCCCGTTGGTAGGCCACCACTGTATTCTCGCCCAGACACTTGACACACACATATCCAATGAGCACAGCAACACCAACGGTTAGGACACGCACCAACGGATCCACATACATTTGTATAATGGCCCAGGCTGTGGCACCGGTCACACACATCAGCGTTATCAATATGACGGTCTTCATCCAATGTTGTATGGTAAATCCCTTGTCCCACTCGAGTCTGCAAGTTGGAGAGTGTTAGAAATAGTAAGACGTGGAGTGTATTTCGCTTACTTTTTGGATTTCTCAATTTCGTAGGGATGCGAGCAAACTTTGCACGCCAGCTGTGCTTCGTTGTTGCTGCCACAACTCTCGACTAGCCAGCGTTTAAGGCACTCATGATGCACAGAGCTGACATCGCCGGTGCAGCGACAAGGCTGAATGAGGGGTTCCGGCTTATCGCTGTCATAGCATATCCAGCAATCCTTTTTGCTCAGGAATGTCTGTCCCTCTTCGGGCGACAGTTTATTGCTGTCAGCATCGAGTGTGGGTATCGATGGATCGATTTGACGGGACAAAAGCTTACGCGGGTTCAATATCCAGAGCTGTTCGGGTGCCATAGAGTTCCACAGGCAGCAAGGAAACCACAACGCAACCCCTATTTCGGCAATACGAAAGATGATATCATACCAGTTGCGCGAATTGACCGGCACTCTATTCCAGAAGATATACAGATATTAGAGCTATGATCAGTATACATTTGAATTGCATAACTTACTTGCCCTTCCATAAGTCACCAAGTGTTTCGGAGGTAAGAAAGCCAACAATCACAATCAGCATTATGGCCTGGCTGAGCAGTCCGAAACGCGACTGATGCAGCTGCGAGGCATTCACGATAGCCTCGCTGGGTCCAAGTATTTTGCCCGTCTGGTCGTAGACAAAACCGCCGCGTAGTTTGAAGAATACCTCCACGCCATAAATCAGAAAGAAGATAACGACAATGAGCAGGAGCACAGCATAACAGCCATTGAAGATGTGCGCATAATCACGACGCTCCGAATTTATCAGTGAGCTGAATACTTCAATGCCAAATAGGCTGTAAAGGAAGAAGTTGAATGCGACAAAGCCTAGGAAGCTCTTCGACAGAAACTGCGACTTCTCCCAACGTATATCGCGCAAGTGGAATATCTAAAAAGTGCATGAAAGAAAAATAATTATTTCTTATATATGTATATATATATATATATATATATATTCCTACTTATTCACCACGTCTTTCTAGACATGGTAAATAAGCTGGCGAGTGCGCACGTACGCGACTTTCAAACGTTCCCACCTAAGTTTAATTAATGGTCGCGATAAATTGTGGTTGCCTATCATTGCGATATGGCGAAGCATTGAAAAAACAATAGTAATTGGGTATAGGAAAAAAATTGAGTACGCTAGCACTTAAATAATTGTTGCACTTGAGATTCTAGATGGCAAACTACACGAGTTTTGCTGTTGTGCGAGAGCTGTTTCCATTCTCCTCCAACATTGAAGCTTTGTCTCCCAAATTCAGATAAGATTGGATCGACTTGGGTAAACAATACTCACATGATAGCTTTACATTTTCTCACTCCACTCTTGATATTCATAGTTAAATAATTCAAGATAAGAATTCTATAGAGTCGAGAGAACATTTGCTAATACAAAAGCTCTTCTATTCTCTTGCATGTTTTTTCGACTATCTTTGTAGACTATATCTCAAATGTTGGTTATCAATGTACCTATTGACGCTAAGATTATGGTCTAGTTCGCTGGCCAGTTCTACATACGTCTATATAAACGACCGTTAAGCTTCTGTATAATTTACTTCTTATCTAATTAGTTGCTATTAAGACAATTAAAATTTCAGAGCGCTATTGAACTTGGAAGGTGAGTATAAGACTATATATATGTTACTTGGACTTCTATACTTGCTTAGTCTGTATAAGATCTCACAATAAATAAATATCTGAGACTGTTACTAAAGGCGCGCGTGAAAAATGTGGATACTGTGAGTACATATTTATTTATAAATCTCATTTAAATACTCTCACAATTAGAATCTAAAAAAACTGCATATATTAAACTCAGCTTTGCATATTTTAAATGCCATTGAATAATTGCTTGGCGGTTTCCTTAACTGAAATGTGCATAAAAGTGAATAATTCTGAATTTGAATCCAGTTTTGGATGAATACAAACGTGAAACGTAGTTTTCTGTTTAGATACAACATTCAGAGTTACAAATTCTATACTATTTGGAAAAAGTCGATATACATTTCATTTAAAAAATACTTTGTGAGTTTTGTGAACTTAACTATAATTTTGACTGCATATTCAGTTATTTAGTTAATATTAAAAATATTTAAAAAAGTTTTTAGGAAACTTTTAAACAAGTCTAGCCTTATTTTACTTGGAAATCAACGTTTATATAAATATTTATATTACTCTGTTATTAAATAACATTGATTTTTCTTCATTTTCATCAATCGTTTATCTCAATTGTATTCGATCGCATCATCAACTCATTGCTAATCCCTGTTGACTCACCTCGGCCCACATGCAGACGATGAGAGAGGCGCAGGTCATCAGCAGCGGATAATAAGCGGACATCAGGGTGACTGCCCACTGGGGCTGCAGATCCAGCTGTGCACAGAAAGAAATTCATTAGATAATTCAATATAAATTATAATTGATTGCTTCACTTACAGGTGTGGTAAAGTAGGCGCCGCGCAGCGAGGAAGCCACAAAGACCATAAAGTAGAGCAACTTTTGAGTGGTTATGCGGCAAGCGCGTAGAATCGACGGCTGCTTGAGCCGTTGATACTCAGCGACAATGCAGATGAGCAGCTGGATGACCGAGACCAGGGCCACCACATAGAAGACGGTGGAGATGCCCGCATAGTAGGACAAATTAAAGAAGTCGCACTCATCGCCGGCATAGCGTATGTCACAGACGCAGGTGTTATTGACGCAATCACCGCGGCCAGAGCAGCTCAGATCGTTGGCCGGCGTAAAGGGCCCATACATGCCGCCGCCGGGCGCTTTACTATGGCCAGAGCTGTGCATCTTGACTGCATCCAGCGGCGACTGCAGCACACGCTTCGAACAACGCATCAAGGTGTGCAGGCTGGGTAACATTCTATATTAAATTACCTGCAAATCGAATTCAGAAAGAGGAACAACATATCAACACTGAATATTTGACAAGTTAATTAATAATTGATCAAGGCTGAAAAACGAAAAACCAATATACTGATACAAACAGAATACCAAGTGAACAACAGCAACAATAAGATTGTCAAACACCCTTTTGTCATTTGAATAAACATTTGGGTCTCGTCTGGGGTCGCTAAAAACCAAAGCAAATATATATTGTATATATCTTTCTCTCTCTCTCGCTCTTTGTATTTGTGTAGTAGAAACAACGCAAATAGACACAGACTTAGGGGTATTCAAACGTCAAACCAACAGTTTTTCCAGCTAAAACTAGCATGCGAACTCATAAATGTTGTGTATAATAAAAAATTATACAATTTGAACAATTTTTATGTTTTTAAATTGTTGGCAAATGCATAAAAAATGTACTTTAGCAAAAATAGAACATTATTTTTGTGTTTTTGAAGTAAATTCATAAATTTAGTTTCGTGTTGAAATCTTAGCTATGTTTTTATGTAGCTTTATTTATAATTAATTTATATTTTAATATTTACATCTGTTCAGATGAGTTTCGTGCTTGAAACATAGCTGATAAATTCAAAATTAAGTAAGTAAACGTACATAAGAGTTTATTAGTTAATGTTATCATTAGGCAGAGCTATAAAAGCTGTATAAATATATAAACTATATGGTCTGAGGTAACTTCCTGTTTTAAGGCTTAGATTAGCTAATTTATACACATAGTTTAATGGAATGGTGTGTATGCATTGAATTTTTTATTATTCTTTTTATTATTTCATATATTTTACCTAAGCAACAAGCGCGCTAAAATTTATATTTATTATTTCAATAATTTTTAATTATTAAAAGTAAAGGCTCAATTAATTAATACAGATTTTTTAAATAAAATATTTTTGTAGTTATTTATTAGAGTAAAGTATATGTTACAGTTAATAACAATCAAAACTATTGTCTTGAATGGCTCCAGCAACTAAGGCCTGCGTCTAAGACAATAGCCAACACTCATAGACAAGCCTGGGAATTGAGCTCTTATCAACCTTGTTTAATTGTCTGGTTGAGCTACTTCGATAATTCATCTATGGCCGAAAGTTAAATTAAACATGTTTTGTTTCATTTGACCTTTTTAAATATTTTTGTCGAATAAATTTTATTGTTTGCTAAAATTGATTAAAAGAAATTCCTTCATCTGCCTGCTTAGTTGACATAAATAAACAGTTGAAGATATGAAAAATTCCATGTAAGTTCTTCTAAGATTTCCTATTTCAACAATCTTCATAGAAAGATCTGTCACTACGTTCAATCATATGCAACTTATATTAAGCTGAGCACCCCTCTTGATAATAATTTAAGTGAGTGTATATGAGTCTTGTGGGTCACAACGCGGACTGCATAACATCCATCAACTAGGGCTGCAAAAACCAGGCAGAGTGTGTCTTGCTTATGGCTTAGCATTATTAGCATTGCAACGATTTCCCCGGCCCATCCATCAACATACAAATATGTACAAACAAACTAAATATACCGAGAGAGAAAGAGAGAGAGGCGCAGAGAGATATACAGGGAAATGGATACATTGGATCGATATAAATGTCTCGTTGACAGCCACAACTGAAATTGACAACTGGCAACAAACAAAAGAACCACAAACAATCAACTGACCAATCAATTCAGTTCGTTCCTCTTCACTGCTAGCCAATTGAAATGCATGAGACGTGTCTGAATCGCAAGCCTCAGCAAAAGGGCTAAGCTTGAGCATGAAGCGATTCGCAGATGACTTAAGCATGTCACGCGTTTAATTTCAATTAAGTGTAATTGTAATTATTATTATTGTTTATATTGTTATTGCTTTTGCGATACGCTTGAGCGTTTCTTTCGCTTTGCGTCTTGCGCTTTGCCTCGTTCTATTACTTTTCACTGATAAGAAGACGTTATTAGAAGAGTACGTGTGTAGGCAGTCACAAGTCTTACCTAATGTTAATGCACGTTTAATGGCCGACAATTTCCTTTTTTGCCATAGGGGAAGTAGCTTCTGAAAAAGGCTTCTTGCAGAATTTGGAGAGGCTCTTTCTAGAAGTCATATATGTCAATATATATATATATCTTTGTAGATATGTATGAAAGATTAAACATATGATTTTGTTTCAGATAAGACTGCATTTTGTAGTAATTCATAAATCAACGTCATGTGATTTTTATATATAAATATAATTTATGATCTTAACCTATTTCCATTTTTCAACTTTACTACTATCGATATCAACTCTTGCCCAAAGCTCAGCTACAATCACAGAGGAAATATTCAAAAACCTTACACAATTTCCTCAAGTTTTTCATTTTCATTTCGGCATTTGGCAACACTTTCAAACATTGCCATAAATAAAATTGTGAATGTGTTTCTATAAATGACTAGAAATTCTTTTTTTTATATTTCCTTTTGCTTTCTAGAGGAACTTTAGTATAGCTGACTAGCGATAAGATAAACGAACGCAAGACAAAGCAACTGTTTCAATTGCAAAATACTTTTTTTTAGCACCTGCATACCCTGTAATAAAGGGCCGCTACCTTATGCCTAGGCTGCTTATTAGACCGGAAATATTTACATATATTGCTCGTTAAATAGACCCCAATGCGAGGCCAAAGGGCATACATGATAATAAGACCAGGGTGGCAAGCAACTATAGAGAACAACAGAAATAGAGAGAGAGAGAAAGAGAAGAGGAAAGAGAGTCCGAAACACCCACCATTATTGCATTTTTGACCATGTGTCAATTGTTGCCTAAATCATTATAATACTTCGAATACTCGATATATAGAGACGCCTGAGCGTCCCTGACATTTTAACTAGACTGTTGCGTCTATTATTTAGCTGGCTTTTCACATTACAAGAAGACCAAATGTCGAAAATAGCGCGCGCGCACACACACACAGACACCCACAGCTAGTTTTGTTTTTATTATTTCTGATATTTTATGTATATGTATATATGTTTTCTATACACTGTCTATAGTATTTATGAGTTTGTTTGCTTGTTGATTCGGTTTTTGCTGCTGCTATAGTTAGATAACGCGTGCCAACGCACCGAAGCGATCGTAACGCGACGCCGACTCTGACTATACTAAACCACAATAAGAGAAAACCTGTTGCGATCCAGACTGTTAACTCAAAAGTATCTCTCCAGCTATGCGTCTCACAGCAAACACTCTGTTAACAGCAAAGCAATTCGCGCTGGTGATGCGCATTTTTATATAGATATATATATATATATAACATATATCATGCTGATTCACGTTGACTCATTAAAATTAATGTTAATTATTTTACTTTGCTTGTTATCATTTATTATGTATTCTAAGTTTCCTTCTATGAAAACTTATTTTCTTAAGATTATAGTATACATATATACTTACTAATAGGGATTTAAATTTTTTATTTGTTTATTGCACATATTTTTAAAATATATATTTTTTTACTTTTCATAAACTTTTTTTTTGATTTTTTTGCTGAAAAAATGTTTTTTTAACTATCAAATAACTATCATAAATCATTTTTGTATTTTTGCCGTAAGCATTTTTAACACTGTTATCATTCTGTTAACACGTGCTCATCTCCAATTGGCACTGTTAACTGCGTTAACTTTAGCAGAGATCGTTATTTACTTTGTCTGCAAGCAGTGCACTCAAGGGAGCACACTGCGTATACGTCATGGCAAGCAGTGTAAAAGAACAGCTCTTGCTCTTTCCTGTGAAAAAGTATGTTTCACAATAGTTTAAAAGACAATTAAATAATGTTGAATACACATATGTGTGAATACACATATTTGTATGTGTATATGTATCTATATATATTTATATATGTATACATATGCGCACATCGTTTATTAAAGGCGCGTCGTTTTTGTAAACAAAAACCGTTTGGCTGTTCAAATAAAATTGAAATAAATTTAAGCGTCGGATCAGCAGGCGTAACAAATTTTACACATATACATACACAAGGCTCCACAAAGCTAACTGCCTATGTATACATTTTTTTGCTCTCTTCTTTGCAGTGGCGGCAATTAAAACTGAGGCTTCGTTTGCCATCATAATAATAAATTATGGCAAATAATTGCCAAAAATTGTGTATAATTATCATGCATATAAATGTATATAAAGTATGCAAATATATAGTAAATTTCTGTATTGCTATCGGTTATAGCGAAACTGGAGGGTAGCACGAGCAACAATTTTAATTTAACAACTGTTTAACCCATTTGTAATTGTATCAGAATTTAACGATTGTGTAAAGTATATTTTTATAGCCTATAGCTATATAATTATTAACATCTGCTCATAATTTAAAAGTGCCTAGCACTGCCTTTTTATTGTTACTAAATAGTTTTTCATTGTAAATACTGAAGAAATGTTTTTTTTGCTTCAAATTTTTGATAAAATATAGCCAACAACTGCTTTCAACTATTGTTAATGTTTCAGAGTTTGTATCTCAACTCTATAAGGTAAAAGAGTGTCAATAAAAGAGAGAAAAATAAAACAATCAAAGCAAAAACTAGTTTGTGGTGCCTGCAGCTAAGTTACATTAGACTGGTTTTGAGCTTGAGAGGGGTTGTGACGCTCAGGGTCCATAGTTGAACGTACGATCGTGAGAGCCGTTCAATATTTACACATGCTGATAGTGCAAACAGATATATATATATGGATCTTGTCACGATACCACAACTTCGACCGCACGAAGTGCGCACGTTTCTTCAATGTGAATTGTTTTTCTTTCATTTCAAAATTAGCGCAACTCTAAAAATTCATAGTACACGACCGAAAACGATTAATAATTAATAATTAAATTTGTTTAAGCTGTGAGCCAGTGAGAACACGCAACCAATAGAAATTCGTCAATAAACACATGTATAAATATATACTATAGTTAAACTAAGCCTAGGCTTGTGCAAAGGGCGTTCTCAAATACGCCCACAAGTGCGACCCTAAATAAGGGGCGTGAGTGTCACATACACGTAATTTCCTATTCAAATTAGAATTCCCGTGTCAGAGTTGAGCTCTAAATATAGTCTAGAGTGTTGGCAGACTTTCGGCTTAAAGCCGCGGGAGTTCAAAGTCTGGGCAGTAGATACTTCAGAAAAATCATTTGAAGTATTTGAAGTATCTATATAAAAAGTGTTTTTAAGCGTGATTCCAATTAAAATTAATTAATTGCCAATTTAACTTAATGCCTACAGTAAACTTAATTAGCTTCATTCTTTTGATAACTCTTAGAGCTGGTTAACAAAATTAAAAACATTTACTTCGAATACATATCGTTCTAATATGTGATTCCCATGAATTTACGTAAGAGTTTCAAGCTTTAATTGAATATATGTATATATTATGTTTAGACACACTGAAAAGGTGACGGCTTAGATGTACGTATATAATACCTGATGGTATTATAATAGCACAGTCCTTATCAATATTAAGAGGTGAGTCGATAAGTGCGATCGGTCGCATGTAAGTCGCGATCTGTATCGATATATGTAAGTTCTCCAATATGTTAATATATTTCAATATACACATGCTTCTCTCTATGACTTTTTCATTTAGACATTTATTATTATTACAGGTAAGTAATGTCTCAAACTATTTTTCTTTCTATTTGATATTCAATTCATAACATATGTTATATACCTTTTATTTTTAGTTAATTTGACATTTAATATTTTATCAGCAAGCTCTGTTGACAAGCTCATAAGCCTTAACGTTGGTTAGGGTCTAGTTCTAATGCACTCTCTGGCACTCTTTTCTTATCTTCCTGTCTTATTTTATTTATCTTACTCTCGTTTACTTAGGCTTGCCTACTATATTTGAATAAGATATCTCTTTTTATTTTTTCTAGATCTTCAACGATCTCAGAAGACCCTCAATATATAATAATTGAGTTACGTACACGTTCCTAAAAAACGCTTTCCCGATACACTTGAAATATGCACGCAGCGAATCAATTAATTGCCAGTTAGCTGCTATTAGTGTTCATTAAAAGAACAGCTCAGGTGTAAACAAAACAAAGGTGTTTACTGGGCTGTCAAGAAGATGCAAATAAATTGCCGAACAGATGGAATAATCTCAAATTGACGGAACGCTAAATGACGTCTATTACCATCCGTAGCACATATTTTGTTCTTTTTCGTTTTTCCTTTCATTTTTTTGTTAAATATATTAAGTTTCGAGTGTACGTAACCTTATCAATAGTTTGGTCAACCCTATGTACACCCACTTATACGCGAGAACATATGTCTAATGTAAGGGAACTGATAAACCAGGCAACCTCTGACGTTGATTGCCTAAAACTTGATGATTGGAATTCATATGATAAAAATATCAGTACAAATAAACCGATTTACTGTTTTGTTAGAAATTGTGCTAGCAGAGATGACAAATTGTTAGCGAAGCTATTCCAATATTTTGATCAATATATTGCCTAGCTGACTCAGTAAGCCAATAAAAATATCGATAAGATTGGTAAAAATATTCAACAACAAAAACCTTCAAAGAGCCGCATAAGCTATACTCAGAACAGAGAATCTATTATATAATGCATATAAAAGTTTTTATATAATATATATTGTATAATTATTGAGAACATAACCGCGAGGGTTTACTTTTAACATAACACACAATATTACTATAAACCTTAAACATTTTAAGTTAGTCAATTACCAACTCTTACTAACTCTTTACATACAACTGTTAACTTTAACATGAATGTTAAAAGAAATCACGCCATACTTTAAGAGCAGAATGCAATTACTTTAATTACACTTTATATTTGCTGTAATAAACTAAAATTCGTTTACACATTTCACAGCGTTAAAAGTGTTAACTCATGTTTGACTTCAAGCCCTTTAACTCTGTGTGGATTTAACATTATAGATTTCACACTTATAAGATAAAATGAACATTCGAGTAATAACATTTTTTGTGAAAAATATTGTTGGGGCCTCGAAACTCGGTATATCATTGATATTTTCTGTAGAACTCATGCAATCTAACTATCTTTGAACTCATGCAAATCGATTTATTGAGGAATTGAATTATTTCAATTTCATTTAAGTACTCACAATACTTCGATAAGTTTCACGCGTTGGTTCATTGAGTGCGCTGTTTCTTATGAAGGGGAGGAGCGCTACGCAACTAATTTTCAGTGTTCGCTATCAAAAACTTAACGTCAGCTGCAAGAGAATTATGTTAGCTATATGTACACAAGCAAAAGTTGGCAAATATCGTGCTAAGGTAACAAAAGACATATTTGCACTTGGCTAGAAGTTCGCGACTTGCTCGCTGACGCATTCAATGTGCTAGAAGAGAGAAGTTTGTATACCCTTTCTTATTGAAATTAATCAATTTACTTAAATTAAAAATACTTAGAGTTGTAACTGCAGTTTAGATCAGTGAAAAATAGTATTTCATAGACAATTCTGATCTTTATGTATAAATAAAATAAATAAAAATAATAATTAATGTAAAACCCTTATGGGAAATTTAGCAATTATATATTTTAAGATATTCTTTCTTTTAATACTTTCAAGTTAGTGCATATATTAACATTTATTAAGAAAGAAAAGAATTACTTTTTATTTAACTATTTTTAGAGTCTACAAAATGAGCCGAATTTTGTTGGATCGCATACTTTCACTTGACATAGTTTACGATAACAGTGAAAGAATATTTTGTAGTTATTTTTGAAGCAATTTTGCTGGGAATCTATTCGATATGAATATTTTACAAAAATATTTGGCTAAGTAATCTAGAATTATGATATACTGTTCAAAGGTTTGCGACTTGTCGAATCCGAATATGACAAATAGAAGAAATAGCGTTTTCGATTTGTAGAGTAAAGTACATTTACTGATTACTCATATTTCGTAGGTCTGTGCTTTTTTAGTATTATTATTCTTGGAAATATTGGATATAGCTATCAAGATAACTAGTTTGTACAATCGCTGTCAATACTTTAGGCTTGATTTCTAAACCAGATTCTCATAAAAATAATGTTTCAGTTGAAACGTAAAAAGTTTATGGACATTTGGTTTGTTGTTGACCAACTATTGTATACATATAAAAATATA